CAAAATCAAACACAGACAAATAAGAGAGCATGACACTGTATGATTTCTAGAGCTGATATAGGGCAATTTGTGCAGCAGAGTGATGAAAGCTTCGTCATGATTGCATCATCCATGACTTCTAGGAATAACATGATGCAATTCATATCATGTATGATGCAAAACCAGCTTCATATTGCATCATTCATTGTTTTGCCTAAAAAGCAAGTACTGTCCAAACCCAGTCATAGATTTATTTATAGATCCAGTCAAAGATGTATTTTAGTCATTTCTGGTTTAAATTGAGATCCCTTCCCTTTATAACTCACGTATCCTCCGCCATTCCCACGTCAAGGGTTGTATATACTGACCCAATAGCATATCTTGAAAACGAGAGCCAATCAACAATTTTAAGCATCATTTTTGTTCTCAGTGACCCAGAATTAGTAAAGTTTGACTATATTTATTTCAGAAGCATTTTGGCTGTAGAGCAGTGCTATAAACATAGGGAGAGAACTGACAAGGTAGCCCAGGTGGGGTTTGGGAGGAGGATAGGAGGGAAGGAAAAGGCCACTAAAAAAGTTCAAAATAATGACAGCCTTTTGCTTGGGCTGTCCACTGGGGTGGAGTGGGAGGGTGCATGGAGCCTCCCCCTCCCGTGTTCTTACACATCTGCGTGAGGAGGCTATGGAACATGGTGAGGGGGGAGGGAGGTTATAGAGGGACTGCAGCGGCACTCTGTGATCCTGCTGCTGTTTCTGAAGCTCCACCAGGCACTGGAGCATGTCCGTTTGATCACGCAGCAGCCCCAGCATTGCAGCCTGCTATCTCTCATCTCGAGCGTCCCTCATGGCCTCACGTTCACTGGCATCTTTCCTGTACTTTGATACCGTGTCCTTCTACTCATTCAGATGAGCTCTTTCATTGCGGGTCGATTCCATGATTTTGGAGAACATTTCGTCTCACGTCCTTTGTTTTCGCTGTCTTATCTGAGGTAGAGAAGTATTTAAAAAGATACATTTTACAGAACAATGCTTATACTCTTTCACAGTGAACAATACTATTCACATTACATAGTACATGTGATTTTTGGTACAAGGTCGCATTTTGCATCTTAATATTGAGTGCCTGCGGCTTTGATGTTAGAGATCACAGACGCAGGTCCGGGCAACAGAATTCTGCTTGCATGCGGCCATGCATTTCGGCTTCTGCAACCTTCCTAAAAGCAGCGCCCTCCTTTCCCACGTACCAAGCAAAGCCCGTTGAGTGCTGCGGTTTTCCTGTTAACGTGCAGCGGCAGAAACCAAACTAACCCCCCTCATCCAAGTCTGTGGGATGATCGCTTTACCCCTCCCCCCACCGCGTGGCTGGCATCAGGGAAGATCCCTGCTAGCCAAACGTGAAAAGCTCAGCGCCAATGACCCCGCTCCCCCCCTCACACACACACTTGGCTAACTGCAGGGAAGGATTTCTTTTCAGCCACAGGCAAACAGCCCAGTAGGAATGGCCATCTCTGTCCACTTAATTAAATTCCCATATTTCAACTAGCTTACCATGAACGATATCACTCTCCTGAGAATAACACAGCGAGATAAAGAACAAATGTTGCTTGAATGCCAGCAAACACCGGGACCATTCGCCGCCAGGCTTTGTCATGCAATGATACCAGATTACTTGCTACTAGCATGGTGCGGTCAAGTGTCCTACCATGGAGGACGGAATAAGGCTGCACTGCCCAGAAACCTTCTGGAAAGGCTTTTGGAGTACCTCCAGGAGAGCCTCATGGAGATGTCCCTGGAGGATTTCCACTCCATCCCCAGACATATTAACAGACTTTTCCAGTAGCTGTACTGGCCGCGAATGCATCCCGTGTCCTCAGGGCAAATTAATCATTTAAAAAAAGCTTGCTTTTAAACCATGTTTTATATTTACAAAGGTACACTCACCAGACATCCCTTCCACGGCTTCAGGGTCTGGGATAATGCCTTGGGAGGGTACTTCAGACAGGCTGAGAAAAACATCCTGGCTGTTGGGGAGAACGGAGGGCTGTGTGCTCTCTGCAAGCTCGTCGTCATCGTCGTCCTCCTCCTCCTCTTCCCCGTCCCCAGAATCCTCAGGCATGGCTGAGATTACCCCCTCCCTCAGAATCCACGGTCAGGGGTGAGGTAGTGGTGGCAGCCCCCCCTTAGAATTGCATGTAGCTCAGCGTAGAAGCGGCATGTCTGTGGCTCTGACCCGGAGCGACCGTTTGCCTCCTTTGTTTTTTGATAGGCTTGTCTGAGCTCCTTAACTTTCACGTGGCACTGATATGAGTCCCTATTGTAGCCTCTCTCCATCATGCCCTTGGAGATTTTTTTCAAATGTTTTGGCATTTTGTCTTTTGGAACGTAGTTCTGCTAGCATGGAATCCTCTCCCCATATAGCGATCAGATCCAGTACCTCCCGTATGGTCCATGCTGGTACTCTTTTTCGATTCTTGGACTGCATGGTTACCTGTGCTGATGAGCTCCGCGTGGTCACCTGTGCTCTCCACGCTGGGCAAACAGGAAATTAAATTAAAAAGTTCGCGGGGCTTTTCCTGTCTACCTGGCCAGTGCATCTGAGTTCAGATTACTGTCCAGAGTGGTCACAATGGTGCACTGTGGGATAGCTCCTGGAGGCCAATACCGTCGAATTGTGGCCACACTAACCCTAATTCTAAATGGCAAAGTTGATTTCGGCGCTACTCGCTTCGTCAGGGAGGAGTACAGAAATGGATTTTAAGAGCCCTTTATTTCGAAGTAAATGGCTTCGGTGTGTGGATGGGAGCAGGGTTAATTCGATTTAATGCTGCTAAATTCGAACTAAACTCATAGTGTAGACCAGGCCTTATACCCCAAAGGGAGCTATTCTGGAATAGTTGTGAGGACTATAGCTGTTCTAGTTAAGTAATTGAATAACTAGCAACAGGAAAGTTGATTGAAATCGATGGATCCAGGTGTAGTATATCCAGGGGTAGTAGCTGTAACTGAGAATAGAATTTGACCTATTTCTTACAATGGAGTAATTTGACCCATCATTGTTTTTAAAGGGCATTTGCTTTAGGCTTAATAAATTTAGCATTTAAATATACAAACTGGGATTTGATCTTAACACTTTATTGAAAGGAAGAGGGAGTGGGAAGAGGAATTTACACCTTTGCTGCTGTTTAGGTGTAGACAAGATTTCCAAGTGACTAGTAATTCTGGACTTCAGGGTATATCTAGCGGAGCAGCAAATCATTATGCAGTGTGCATTATGGGGTTGTGAATGCACTAACATGTTCCCCGCTAATTGGTCGGTGTAGATCCTGGTAGTGTACACTAAAATTACCCTAGTGTGCTTTAACACTGCACTGTTTCAAACAGTGCTGAAAACAGACCCTTTAAAGTTTTCACCATTTGAGCACTCAATCACTAAGGCAGTCAAAATCACTAGTCTTTTAAAAATATTGGCCAAGTTTTTGTTTGTTTAGATGCAATGCAAAAGTTGGGATTTTGTTTATTCTATTCACATGCTATGTGGCAATCAGTTATGTAAATCTATGTAGAACAATATACTACTTCACCACAGGGTGGTACAACATGAATGAAAAGGCAATTTTTAAAATCTAGAAAATACTGGCTTTGGGGAAAGAGCACTCGAAGCAGACCATGTGATACCTTACACTAGAACAATATATGTACATTTTGGTAAAGGTACATTCAGGCTAAAGGTGCCCTCTTCCGGTGCTGAGAACTGCAAGCTTTATCTGAAAAACGTATGTCTCAAATGAATGTGGGGGTTGAGTGACCTGTGCTGAATATGTGATTAGGGCAAGTGACTGCACATGGGTAGCTGCAAAGGCAAGATGTCAGTCCTAGATTCCAGTGCAAACTTTGCATTTCTTTTTTAAAAAATTGCAGTGTTAAAGAAATAAAATATTGTTCCAAAGCCTGGCGTTTTTTCTAAAAGTGTTACATTTCTCACTGATTACAGTACTAAGAATCATGAAACGGCTCCAGGCAGAGCAGATCGCTGTTCAATGAAGCCATGAAGGGCCTTCGGGTCGGGGAGAGGGAGTTGAGGGGATTCCCCCCGTGCCTTGGCCCTCGGGTGGGGGAGGGGCAGCCTGAGCGAGGAGCAAGCTGCAGCCGACGCCATTTTACGCTTCCGGCCCCAACTTCCGCCCCCCCCGCCGCTCAGTCCGGGGTGGGAGGGGGAGAGGGCCGGCCCTGGAGGGAGGGGCGAGGGCGGAGGGACTCGGCCGCCTCCGTCCTCTGCCTGGTCGGAAATAGCCGAGCTGAGCCCGAGCGCCCGCCCCCCTCCTCCTTCCCCCACAGCAAAATGGCGGCGCGTGGAGTCCCTGGGAGCCAGTGAGTGACTCGGCTTCTCCTCCCCGCCGCCGCCGCCGCCGCCACAGGCTCATTTGCATTGATCAGCCGCCCCCTCCCCCTTCCCAGACCGGCCCCTCTCCCCCCCATCAATCATCAATCAGCACCGAGTGGATCAATCAATGGTCGGGAGGAGGCGGCGGCGGCGGCTGCTGCTGTTAATGAACAATGTGTGAGAGCTGCGCCGAGCTGCTGGAGGTGTTAAATGAGAGTAAGTGCGGCCGCCCCCTCGCCCGGCCGGGCCCCCCCGCAGGCGGTATAACGGCCTTCCCGCCCGGCTGGGCCTCCTGTGTAGCGGGGGTGGGCTGAGGAGACCCCTCCGTACGGAGTAGGGATAATCCGTCCGGCTGGGCCCCGGGCGGGGTCATAATTCTCCCCTCCGGGGCCCCGCAGTGCAGGGAGGTCGTGCCGCCTCGTAACGCTGCTGGGCCTCCCCCAAAGCCGCCTCCCGGTGGCGCCCAGTCCGCTCCTTCCAGCGCGGCCCGGGAAGCCGCAGCAAGGCCTAGTGCTGCCGGGCGAAGAGCTGCGAGCTGCTCCTGTGGCTGAGGAGCTGGAGACCAGGCCCGGGCAGGTTCCCTGTGAGCAGAGAAGGCGGCTCTGGTTGGGAGGATGATCCGCCCCCCACCCATTATATTTGATGTCCGCGGCTGGGCAACAGGCTTGCGTCGCTATTTTCAGACGGGGCTGGCTGGGGGGAACCCGGCCCTGGCACGCGTCTGTCCCGGCTGTGAAACGGTTTCTTGGGCCGGCGAGCGCCCTGGTGTTTCAGAGCTTGAGACTTGGCTCTTGCCTCCTTCCAAAGTTCCCGCATCACAAGTGGGAGTTACCTAAGGCGGGGGGCTCGGGGCCCTGCACGCTTGCAGCCCTGGGGGTAGGCCCTCCATCCCACCGCAGCCGAATCCGGTACAAAGCATCTTTCACCTCCTGTGCAGCAGGCCTTGGGCATCTCTTGGAACCGGTTCCAACTAAGCTGTCGGGGGCAGGCCCAGTATCTCGTCCGTAATGTTGTGTACGTAGGCAGTGTTTAATAAATAAACCAACTTAATCAAATACCTTTGGTGTGGAGATGCTGGGGTGTTTAATAAACACATCTGTGTGTAAGTCTGTGACTAGAAGCAAGTTTGAAAAGGTTTACATTTAATAAATGCTATTTAGATATTAATGTATATACAGTTTAGAGGCAGATCTTACTGTGATGGAGTGAAATGTAGATCATTATACAAGTACTATCTTAGGACTCATTCCCTTTTTAACTTCTGAGAGGCCTGATCACAGGGGTTGTTCAGTTTTAAAATACATTGATACATATCACTCTGTTTACATGTGTTTTTAGTGCCCCCCTTTTTTCTTCCTGTAAACACTTGCTATTTAGCTATGATCAACATTGCTATTTTTGAGCAATATTTTAGTTATAAACCCAAGTGATAGTAGGCCCAAGGGCCTGGAGACATGCATAAAACAGATTACAAGTTAACCCCAGGCAACGGTTGATTGTTAAAATCACTTTACTAGCTGGTTTGATCAAGTTTGTAATTTTAACATCTTGTTTTGAGCAGTGCTTGTTCTCATTGTTTACTTATGTTAATCATTATTATCCTGAGAGACAAGGAGGGTGAGGTAATGTCTTTTGTTAGACCAACTTCAGCTCTGTTTAAGCTTGAAAGCTTCTCTCTCACCAACAGAAGTTGGTCCAATAAAAGATATTACCTCACCCACCTTGTCTCTCTAATATCTGGGACCAACAGGGCTACAACAACTCTGCATACATATGCTATCCTATCATCCCTCCCTCAGTACAATATTTGGGGTGGAGCATAGGGCAAAATTTGATAAAATGTAGATTGTGTGTTTGATCTGCCAATTTATTTCAAACAGCTGATCTTTAACAGATTGACTGTAGGACTAGTTCAGTTATCAGTGGTGTATTAGTCTGATAACTTTATTGGAAGGGAGAATTCATTTGGTAGTGGCCTGATGGCTTCAATGTATAAATTTAATAAAGATTGGTCTGTTTGAATGTTAATGTTTTACGCTGGAATAAAACATAAATTTAAATGTGTGAAGCCTAATGTTGATTTCTATAACTAATCTAGTTTGGAAACCATTTTTAAGTTGAGGTTCAGATAATTGGATCGTTCATTAAAGATAAGTGTTCGATGTATGCCTTCTCTTTTTAACAGTGGCCTATCTGTAAATAGGGTAGTAGGTTCTGTATATTTTAATGATGTGATCTTGCTATTCTTAAATTTGAAAAGGGAAGATGACTTTGGTAGTTAATTTCCTGGGGAAAATTATGCTTCCTGTTGTCTTACATTTAACCTCCATAAACTCTGTTCAAACAACATAAAAAGCTGTCTTAAACCCACAGTAACAGTGTCATTTGTAATAAGGCTGAATATAATTTTTTGTGTTTAGACATTAAAATACTGGTGGTGTAATATATAAGCTACCTGGAAAAGCTAAATGTAATAGAGTGAATTAAAGAGGGAGTCCTAGCTTTATTATTAATGTCTTTATTTGTATAGCTTTACTTTAGTGCCCTTGCATTATTTACATGAATTTTTAATTTATATGCACCAAAAAAATCATTGCATACCTCATTTAAAAAAATATATTTCAGTAAAAATGAAAAATTATAGTAAGAATGAGATCATGCCCAAAATGTGTGAGCCTGAGACTGCTAGCAACTTTCTTTCCTGTCTGATGAGCATTTGGGGTTGCCTCTTAACTGTACTAAAACTACTGAATTAGTATCTTGATAGAGATCCAGGAATGTAAACTGAAGTTCAATGGCATCATCTTGCTTCACTGTTAGAGGGCAGTTAGTACAGAACATCCTCCCCCCCAAAATACTTCTTCCTTTTGTCTTTATTTAATTTAAAATTCCTGATGTAATTATCTGGCATTGTTTGTATTACAGGAGATTCAGCAAAGAAACAGACTGCTGAGCCTTGATGCTCTCTTGAGAGCACATGGGAATTCCCTATTTTGTTCATCGGACAGAACGATGAATTTTACCAATTTAGACTCTGATAGTGCAAATACTTATGCACAAGCTTATCTTTAAGCACATTAGTAGTCCTGTTTGACTTCAGTGTGATAAAGCATGTGCATAAGTGTTTGCTGGACTGAGGCTCCAATCCTGCAATGACCTCTGTATTGGTACAGGGATCTCTGCCTGCTCGGGGAGCTCATTGCAGGATCTCAAGTCCTTAGGCTTGATTCTGTAACCTATCGCATTTGTCAAAGGGTCTACATATGAGTAAATACTACTCAATTTGAGTAAATGTAGCAATATTTGGGGCCCATTATTTAAAAAAAATTGTAGTTTTTATGGATGGTAATGATCAGTGTAATTTATTTTTTAAAATACAAAGCTTAAGTATTTGAAGCATGCCAAACTTAGCTGTTTAGCACCCTCTTTTGCTAGGCATTGTACAAACATTTTGAAATAAATGGTCCCTGCCTCAAACAGCGTATGAGCCAAGAAACATGTTCATAGCTGGTATACATTTTCCAGCATGTGATGTGATAACACTTACAGCTGCTATGTTGTGTACTGTGACTGTGTACCAACCGTCTAGGGAAAACAGAAAATGTTGTACATGCATATGCCTAAGGATTCATGTGGGTACCAGACTAAAAATGGTAATATTCCAAGAGTTAAGAATGGAATATATTTATAAGTCATGCATCTTTAAAAAACAAAACAAACATGAGTTGGGCATACAGAGTGTAGTGACTTTTTATAAACTCCAATGGCTGTCTTATTTGGCAAGCATTACAAAGGCCTGTTCTTAGTTACACTTGTCACTGGTCAGGGCTTGCTGCACCTTTGACTTCTTCTCACATCTGAGTGCAGCCCTCCAGGTAACTGGCCTCTTGCCTTCATCTGGCCTCCTTCCCTGCAGGCTCTGCTTCTCTCTCTCCCTTGTTCTTTAGGGGCTATCCTTTGATCATTTCCAAAATCCTTTGTTTCCTCATTGTCTCTTGAACCTGCTTAAACCAATTGATGTGGCCAACCAGGGGGTCAGGGATAGACTTCACAGCAGTTGCTATCAACTAATTGTCTCCCTTCCTGCATAGATAGTGACCCCTCCCCCCCCCTTGTAATCATATAACAAACAGCACAATAACTAGCAAACAGATGGGCATATCATAAAATATTTACACGCAGCTTCATGTCCTTCAGAATTTTCAGATGGTCTGCAAAATTTTTTACAAAATAAATTGATGCATTTTTAAATTAGAAACCTATCAAACACTTGAAACTAATTTCAGGGGTTTTGCTAGTATTTATAACTTAGGTACTGAAGGCAGCTGGTTTGGCCTTCTATCAGATACTCTTGAAGGGATATAATACATATCTAGTAATGCATGAGGACTAAACCTTCCTGGAGGATGCAGAGATCCTAGTTACATTGTGTGCAGTGGAACCTTCTTTTAGTGAACCTTTAGAACAGTGAAACTGTACTTACAATGAAGTAGAACAAAAATCCCAAATTTTTCCAGTACAGTGTAATGTTTAATTTTTTGTTATGGGCAAAAATATCACTAAGGCGATCTACACTGTCAATTGAGCGACAAAAATTTTGTCCTTCAGAGGTGCTAACCCTTCCCCCCTTTACTCCCCTTGGAAGGACAAAAGTTTTGCTGCGACAAGTGTCAGTGTGAACAGCGCGTTGTCGGCAGGAGCGCTCTCCTGTCAACAACGCAAATGCCACTCGTTGGGCGTGGAAGTATTTTGTTGGCAAAAGTGCTGAAAATACAGAGTACTTGCTGTGCAACTATTGTAGGCAGAATCCTGCTACACCTCTCCTAGTCATCGAATTGGCCTTGTCAACACTGGTTCTCCACTTGTGAGGTTCTCCCGTCTCTTGTCATTATATAATGTCTGCATCTGTAACTTTCACTCCATGCATTTGAAGAAGTGAGGTTTTTTTACCCACGAAAGCTTATGCCCAAATAAATCTGTTAGTCTTTAAGGTGCCACCGGACTCCTTGTTGTTTTTGTTGATACAGACTAACATGACTATCCCTGATACTAGTCATTCAATGGTTATCATTAAATTTGGAAGTTAATGATCTTACTTGTGTAGAGCCAGCCTTTGTAGTTTTGGAGAGGCCTGAAAAACAACATTTTGCTATATCTGTTGCTGCCAAATTTAATTGTTTCCTGTCCACCATTATAAAGTCTCTATGTGCAGAACC